CTCAGTCTATGGTCTCTCCAGTGTCTTCACCACTCTGCCTCAGTCTATGGTCTCTCCAGTGTCTTCACCACTCTGTCTCAGACTATGGTCTCTCCAGTGTCTTCACCACTCTGCTTCAGTCTGTAGTCTCTCCAGTGTCTTCACCACTCTACCTAAGTCTATAGTCTCTCCCTGAAGCTTTCTCTACCTTCAGACTGTTCCTACTCCCCGTTTCCCCACTTCCAGGGCCTGACTTGAAATAAACATTGAAACCAGAAGTGCTCAGTACATGACCACCTAAGGGACACATCTGTTAAGACAGCACCTGTGATCTCCCTTATGTAGTCGTGAGTTCCTATCGCCAACCAATCCTGCTCCCTGCTCGATGGCATTCCTTCCATACTGTCAGTGATTCCTGACTCTTGTTTTCTCTGTGGCTTACTTCTCAATGGATCACGCTTTCCTTTGCTATTACCTGGAACAAGCGCTGTATTTGAATTATTTCTTCATGATTTTTTGTATATTTGTAAGTCAGCTAATCATAAATAGTATTAATAAGAAGAAGCATTTCTTGCATGAATGTAGCACAGCACATCTCAAAGGATCTAAGAGATAATAAAACTGTGTGGAATGACTCTGACACTGCAGAGGTTAAGCACTTCCTGCTGAAGTTGGGAAAATCTTGACACACATCTTATAAACATGAAGCGGATGTAACACATTAAACACAGGGCTTTGCAATCTTTTTATTTACCAACAGACATGTCACTTCAAAAGACTGTTGCTGTGAAAGTACTAAGTTACTCATCTCATTGGCATACAAAAGAAAAAAAGATCAGAGTAACAAAACCATAACTTTTTTGAGCACTCAGTCCTGAGGTAAATTGAAAATAAATGTATCACACAGAGCTTCAGAATGTTTTACAGTTGAATATTGTACAAATTAATTTCAATAACATTGGAACATTCAGAATTTCCCTGGTTCCTAAAGAATAATGTCTGGTCTTGTCGGGTTTGCTGGTTGTAGAGGCAAAGCAAATCTAATAACATCCCTAATCTCTCCCTCTGCTGTTTTCCAGGCCCTGACAGAGCACATCGCTGAATGGAGTAGAGCCATCAGGCGCCCAGCAATTGAATGAGGGTTGCATGGGAAGATGGAACGGAACAGAGAGGCAAACGCAGACCAGCTCTGTGCAGCCCAGAATTGCCGGATCTGAAATAAACTGAGTAACCTATAACCACTTTCTCCTGACCTTTCCAATCCCTTCTCTCCCTGCCTTTTCCTCTCCGACGGCTTTTTTATACTGCCTTTTTCAAATACATAGGCAGCCTTTTTTTTTTCTTTTGGGAATAGTAGCACACTCCAAACGCAGCGCCCGTCGAAAATGTACCTCTTTGCCATCCCCGAGTGTAGAGTAGGGACAGCCAGGTCTTGTCCCCAGAGAATGTCTGACACCTGTCTGGTTTGGCTCCTTGGCTTGGCTCTCAGAGTGGCTCTGACTTCGTGCCATAAAGGTGACACCTCCAGCACTGACAAATATCCCATGGTTACCACCAACTACGGCAAGCTGCGAGGCATCAAAAAGGACCTCAACAATGAGATTCTCGGCCCGGTGGAGCAGTACCTTGGGGTGCCTTATGCCACCCCACCCGTCGGAGACAGGAGGTTCCAGCCTCCTGAGGCCCCTGGGTCCTGGCCGGATGTGAGAAATGCTACCCAGTTTGCTCATGTTTGCCCACAAAACATCCAGGGGGTATTGCCGGAAATTATGCTCCCTGTGTGGTTTACAGACAACCTGGATATTGTGGCCGGTTACATTCAGAACCAGAGTGAGGACTGCCTCTACCTGAATATCTACGTACCAACAGAAGATGGTAAGTCAATACTTGCTTGCCTGGAGGAGGGGGAGTATACAGTATCTATGTGGACATCAGGATGGTCAGCCCCTTAACCATACTGTAGGTCCTAAAGAGTATTTTCCCATTGAACCATAACTTCTTCCTTTCTCAAGTCATTTTCAGTTTGTGAGACAGGAGATCACACAAATATGTCACTGCACAAAATAGGGATTTTTAGTCATGATGAAATTATAAGTCATTCTGTACTTATAACATATACAGTACAACCACAATATTCAGATACAACCACATACTTAATTAGTATATTTTTAGTCAAGGACTAACGGAATGAAAATTAGTAAATGGTATAAAGAAATATAAACAATAGGTTTTAATGTCGTGTAAAGCTGTTGTATTTTAGTTTTTGTACTAATGTAAGAGACTGCATGTACCGTAGTGTATGTCTTTAAAACATGTTTATTCACATCCTTTAGGTTCAGCTGTTTCCAGTGGCTTCTCTGTGGTTTCTTCTTTAGAACTGAATTTATGTTCAAACGGTTTCGGGGCTCATATTTTTCTGTGCAGTGTCGTATTTAATTATAATTCAAAAGGATAATTAAGGAGTCCAGTCCATAGCGCACAATTAGAAGCTTATGTACGTGCTGTACCAGAAATGTCCAGGGAGGTTGGATTTCTGTTCCGACGAAATTTCTCTTTTGTTACGTGAATTTTAAACTGTATGTTATTGATTTTTCTACAGTGCAACAAAACATATTACAGCAGGAGTTTTGGAAGGATGATGCCTTTTTCAAGGCTCTTGGTTAGATTCCCAGTTTGAACTCAGAATCAGACTAAACTATATATTGCCCTGCCAAAATATTAGAGAATGTCGCTAATAACTAGACAGATCACCTCCAATCACCTTTACGGCTGTGGGGTGCCTTGGCATTGATTCCTCTAGGCATCTACGGATGTCTGTGTAGGTAGACATGCTATCAGCACCATCTCAGCTCGGCATTCGATCTGGGCAGAAGCTCAATTGTGCCTCATGTTGGTGTTTTTCCTGCCAACCACTTGCCGGCAAACATTTGACATTTTCTGAACTGTCAGGTGAATAGGTACAGTCCAGTCCAGCCCAGCAAACCTGCCGGTAGGTTAAAGTGCTTTGGGATCATTTGGGATGGAAAGGGTTTACATGAATGCAGTTATTACTGTTGATTGCACTGGTTTCTGCCTGCCTCCTACAAGACCAGCAGAGGGAATGGATCAGAAGGGCTCGAGAAGGGGCAACTGTGAAAATTCTTATAAACACACACCCGCAGGGTCATAACCACATTCAGTTCAGTTTCAGGAGAGCTGCAGCTCATCCCACTTATATTGCTTAATTAAGATACTGTTTGTCGCTGTTTCTGAAGACCGTTTTTTTCATACACTTCTGATTTCCTTCGTCTTTAATCGTTCCCTCGGGCAGAGCTCGAGCCATCAGAAGCTGAAGTGTTTGGGAGTCACACCTTTTTAATCACAAGGAATCCCCCACCTTCTGCTCCCCAGTACACTCACTGAACTTTTAAGTTGTGACAAGTTTTGGACATTTGCCATCTTAGCCTGGTTGAGTTTGGTGAACTCCAGTTTGGAATTGATATGTTTTTTAGCTTCATTTTCTCTTTCTTGTTCTATCTTTTCACTTTGGAATCACCCCCCTTTTAATCACTGGTGTGTGCTCCCTTGTGCCACCACTTTCCTGCAGAGAACGCACCTTTGCCACAGCTCCTACAGGAGAGCTTGGGAGTTATGGCTGTCGGAAGAGTGATTCAGATTTCACTGAAAGCACTGCGAGCTCCCAGGCAATGAGCCAGCTCATGTCTGTTCATACATGCCTGGTGGAAAGTGTCAAGGCTGTCCCATACAGGGGTCAGGTCCAGGAACAAATCAGTGATGTTAATCAGTTAATAATCTACACAGATGAACATGACGTTCAACAGCAGTGGAAAACTGCTGTGATCAACACACAGTATATTACAGTATATTGTTATAGACAGTGCTGTGTCAGCATGTGTAGGCTACAAATGAACAGGTACAGTAAAGGTTTATTTAATGCTGAAAGGTAAAGAAAAGAAACACAACTTTTTGGCTGTGAAGTCTTCTTCAGGTGCCTCACAATCCTTCACAAAACTTTATTTTTCCTTTCTTTAACTTTCAACATATAATGAACCCTTAACCTGTTTCATATGTTGTTATATTATGAATTATGAAAGATAACAGTATTAGCTGCTGGAATATCTTACAGCTATGAAGATCTTACCAATCACGGTAAGTATTGTCCTGCCTGCATTGTGAAGTCCAGCTTCTTCTTGACAAGTTTAATCAAGCATCTATAACCCAGGGTTGATGTGATCACCTTCACCATAGACAGAATGGCCAATCCACAAAGCCTAACATTCAATCATTTGAAGCCACTGTCAGTGTATTTCTGTACAGCACAGTACCTGTGTTTGCCATTTATAGATTTTAGAAATGGAATATGCAGTTTTGGTTTCTTTAGAGATTAACTCTTTCTTTCGTGGCACTCTAAGATCAGAGAAATAGCCAAGATGTTATAAGATTGTCTGTGAATCACCCAGATATGCAGTTTCCCAGTGTTTTTCAATGTAAGCTTCATTCATTTCTGGTTGTGACATATCAGATGGAAATTCCCAACCTATGTTTGCATTTGTTCAAATCGTAAGTATATGCGACATCAGCACCTGATATTCAGTTTCCTGCTCATCACTGTGGCGTTAGGTTCTATTGTTCCTTGATGTCCGATAATTTTGCCACGAATACAGATGCTCTCTTTGTTGCTGTGATTTTCGAAGGCGTAAAACCCGTGTAATTGTACTGTGTCTGCAGAAAGCCAATCACCATATTTTGTGTATTTTTTTCCACAACCCTGATAAGGCCCACTAAGGATTAGCTAAAAATCAGCACGGACACATGCTTATAACGTTCTCATATGATGTCAGCTTAACAATTGTGTGCATGAACAATATGCATGCTCTGAACTTGCTTAACAAATCTCAGCAGTGGTGTTACAGAGTATAGCATCTACAATCTACTCACTCTTCCAGCCTCGAGAGTGGGACCCATCAGAGCCTGAGGCTTGGGGCATTAACCCCTCTCCCTCGTCCACACACACACAAGGCAATTGATTTAGAAAGCTATAGAAAGAGACATTTTTGTGTGCGTTTCACAACCCCCCACAAAAATTGAAATGGCAGGTGGGTCACAATGAAAGCAGGTAACTGATGGATGCAGATGGAAAGCAAAAGCTAAGACGGATGATACACACAACAGGTTCTTTCCTGATCTGTCTGACAGACGCTGTATGCAGCAATTTTGCCTAAATAGACAGACAAGCCCTGACATCTGCCAGCAGCTACAAGCTGACTTTGAAGGAGAGATGCAAAGGGCAAACTACTTAGCGGGTGAGTTTAGCAAAGGTGCCTAGCTGAATATCCCAGGAGGGTGAGAGCACTCGACTTAGAATAGGGGAAGCAGTGTGTTGATGATCATCTGTGCTTAAACATGGAGATACAATGGAAGATTCACAATTCATTTTAATCCATTATTGTAATCTAAAAAGGCAGGATACGTTTGTTTTTTTTTTGGGGAGGGGGTTGCATAGTGGCACAGCGATGGGGTCCTGGGTTCAGTTCTTCTGTGTGGATCTGTGTGGAGTTTGTATTTTCTCCCTGTGTTTGCCTGGGTTTGTCCAGGTCCTCTTGTTTCCTTCCATAGTCTAAAGACATACTGGCAGCTTATCTAGCTTCTGGAAAACAAGTGGCCCTGGTGTGAGTGTGTGCGTGTCTGTGTTTGTGTCTGTCTGCCCTGTGATGGACTGGTGTGCATTGCTTGTTGGGATAGTCTCCAGCTCTCCCACGACCCCTTCACTGGAAGAAGCAGAAAATGGATGAGATAAATGGATTTTTTTATTATTACTGTATATTGCTTCCAACATTCAAAATTTACAAAAGCTGTCAACCAGTGAAGCCTTTTTCAAAGGTCATACTGGATCCTATAATCTATCCAGTCCACTCCCATAATCTAAACTAGTGCTTTTTTTACTTGTTTACTCATTACAACTGCACAGTAAAAGTTTTGAGTTCTGTTACCTACTCTAGCTCTAGTTTCTACACCTGTTTATTTCCTCCCCTGTCTGATATTCCAGTTTTGAATCTTCATTTCAAATGTTGCTGCCCCTGAAGGTAGCATGTGACAGACCTGGACTGATAATCAATGTGCTCATGAATCACGCTCTGCCCTGATTATATCCTTATCTTTATATGAGCTCAGTTACTGCACCCAGAGGATAAGGAACACCTCAGCAACTCTTCCTATGGGCTGTGGATTGGTCTGTAGCTCGATGAAAACCTATTCTGGCTCTGGTTACCAACAAGCTTAACACCAGAGTCGACATGCAGTTTCAAAACTCCCACTTTTCTTTACGATTCCTGAGAGGAAAATTGGAAAATAAGAAACCTACGTGTCAAAGTAGAAGTGTGGATTGACTTAGTATGCAATGGACTGGTGTCATGTCCTTAATGTATCCTGCCTTGTGCCCCTTGCTTACCAGGATAGATTCCACTCCCCCATGACCATGAAGATAGATACTTTATTGATCCTGTGAGGGAAATTGCAGAATTAGATGGAGCAGTTAGAAAAGGGATAAATGGGTGGATGGACTTATTATAATGGGTTTCAGTGACATGACCATCTGAGGCATACCTTACGTACTGTATGTCTGTCGTCAGCTGTGAAGATCTCATTGCAGAGTTAGTTTCTGAGAGCACCAGTTGACTAACTGTGCTCCATTGAGAGCATGACTGGGCTTTCTCCATGTAGAGGCTCATGATTGGCTGAGGGCTGGTGTGGTCAGGAGGTTACGAATCTCTCCAGATAAGGGGCACTCAGGTGGGTGTCTGTGAGCTGCGATAGATGATGGTTTTAAAAAGAGTAATTGTTTGCACAAACGGAAATAAAATATTTGTTTTGAGTTT